TTTTTTTTTTTTTTTTTTTCTGCAGATGGAAGCATATAATCTCTTAATACTTTGACCTTTTTCCCTCCTTCTTTGTAACCTCATCAATGTACATAATACCTTTGTGTCTGTAGACTTCATATGGCTTACAGCTACGTACAGCAGCTGCAAATTGGTGGACCCTCTCCTTGTGACTTCCTGTGCAGCAAACCACATTGTTCTTGAAGCAAAATACTCGAACGGCTGGAGGCACAGCTAATTCGACCAAATGGCTGTAACCGAGCTTGAGGTACAAGAGACGGCCTTCAGATTCAGCCCTAGCTTTGAAACCGACACCGACAATTTTGAGAAAGCGGAAGAATTTAGCTTCCATGAGTGAAGGCGCTTTATTCGACTTGCCTGCATTAATATTGAGGAACATGTCTTTTATAACTGATTGTATGGAGATTGTATCAAATTCCACTAATGATTTTCATCTACTGTTTAACAAGTCAGAAACGGTAAAAGGAAATAAGATGCGACTTAATATGCACGGCAACATACACATAGCCTAGCACATTGAAATCATAAAGTAAATCCAGAATCGTCATTCTCACGTGGGTCTTGAAGGGAGAACAAAGCTGGGATTTCCATGTCAATCAAAAAGGATACATTAAGGGGCGGGCCTCATCCAGTTATTAAGATCAATTGCAAAAAAGCACAACTCGAGGATACATAATACAAGATAGTAAGGACGGTGATGAGAATTCATGGGAGTTCATAAAAGGATGAGACACTTAATTTAAATTGAGCCATTTATATCAATTTCTACATATTATACGACTATTAACAAACAAAATAGATGCAAGTTCCAGTCTGTTAGATGAATACTAGATGAAGTTTGACGTTCAATGGAGCATTATATAATAAGATTCAAGAAGACTTTAGCAAAATATTATTTATCTAAGCAAAATACACAAACTTGTCACTGTTAAGAGAACAGTAGATCTAATAACATCGACAACAGGCGAAAAAGAATTTAATGAATTATAGCATCTGTTAACAGCAGTAAAAAATGAGAGAAAAAAATACCATGTGATACTTGTATAGCTTTGAAAATATGATAATCGCGTGAAAAATGGGATTGGCAAAGAATGCTCGAACATTGACATTTCATTGCTCTATACACGCACATTTGCTGCCATAAAACTCAACATTCACGCATCAGACTGAACAAACAAGATTAACAGTTTGGTGGGTTCATGGCCATAACACAACATGAAACAATTTCCTCTACGTTCATTCCCAATCACCGACTTCACTAGTCAATTGTTCGGATCAAGTCTAAAGTGAGTGGCTCTGCTAAATTCTCCACCAAAACCTAGAAACTCCCAAACAATGTGGTTAGTGAAACTTAGGAAAAAAAGAATTATCAATCAATAAAACAAAACCAGCATTCTAGTTATATTATTAACCTTTCCCACTCCTCTCAGCCCTCTGCCTACCATATCTCAGTCAGGCATTTTGTCGAACACGTTGTATGCAGATTATTCTATGTCGATTCTATCTCCCAATACAAATGCAAGCTAACCAAAATATTGACGGCCACAAATCTTGAGACATAATGGGATATACACAATCATCAATATCGAAGTATGAGCAAAAGACGAGAAATTAACGTCCATCGACGACGAAATGAGAAACGGAAGTAGGAAAAATAGAACATCTCTTCAGCTATCGGAGCATGAAAAGTATGAAGATGGTAAGAAAGAGTGATCCCTACCGGAGATGTGCTCTCTAGTACACAGACGTTTACTGGATGGAAGGGGAGAAGTAGTTCCTCAAATTCACCTCCTTTAATACTCGCAGGGTCGAGTTACTAACGTACTAGTTGTAACTTGTGCATTTGCACGGAGAATTATATGATCAAGAAAAAAAAATAGAAAATATAAACAATAGTAAAAGTACTAATATAATCATTGGAAAAAAATATGTTTTAATAAAGAAAATCTAACTAATATTAAATACATCTTTATATACAACGTTTGTGGTTCTTCTATCTTCAGAGTCTTCATCACCACAAATCATTATCTTCAAACTTCTCGGAAAATGTGCGTAATTTTATATAATGGATAGTACTGGTATGTTGTCAACAAATAGACTGGCACAACTGGAGTAAGAAGTCCCCAAATGAGCCCTATTAGAGAAGGGCGGGCAGAGACAAAGCTATTTATTAGCGTATTTTTATATGCTTAATTTTATCGCGCTTGTATATTTTTTGACTTATTTATCTATTAGATGGATGCAAGTGCGATGATATATTTATAGTTTATTTTCAGGATATTGGAGTATTTTTATTGGTGGCGTAGAGCATGCCAGTACAGAATTCCCCCAGCCCAATTTATGGCCCTCAGTTTCTCCCAGGTATGCATTCTTTTTTTTTT